ACAGCTGATGTTAAGACAGGCAGATCATATATTTAAAGAGAAAGCTAGTGTTGATGACTTCCTTTTGTTTTTTAGTTGCAGCTGGCTTTTAGGTAAATGGGATTGCTCAATATTAAGATGACATGTATTTTCCATTCTGTGGTAGAGGAAGGAGCAATGCAATAGGTTGTAACTACTGCACAGGAAAACCACGGCTTGAGAGTGGTATGGGAAAGGATGCATAACATTCTCCCTGCTGGGTCTGTCACGCCCCCTACTGGAGAGCATGTTAGTGGTGCAAGTTTGCAGGCTGATTCTTGAACTTTTTGCACTTAAAAAAATTTTAAGTTACAAAAGAAGGCAAACAAACAAACAAAAATATCAGTTTTGAGGAATACCATGGGGAGACTATGAAAAGCTCAAGTCGCTGCTGCCCAACTTCTCTCTCCCCCTCCCGCTATGTGCTGTGATTAATAAAAAACAATTATGATTAGCTAGAAATATTTATACCCAACAACTTTCATACTTGTGCTTTAGAAATTTAGGAAACAAAATACGTGCTTAAAAAAAAAAACCACAAAAGGATCATTCTGTGTGTTAACTCTATTCTTTACTTTTTTTGGTAAGATATCTTAGTTCCTAAATTTGCAAAAGCTGTAAACTTACAGCTTACCTCGTGAAAGCTTCAATCAGGGGGAGGTTAAACAAAAGGAAAAACAGATTTAGGGAATTAAGTGCCGTGTGGCAAAGGGTGATGAGGAATTGGGAAAAATGAAAACTTTCAGCATCCTTGTGGTTGACCATATTTGAGGAAGTGTGATACCTGTCTTGTTTTCCTGTTCGTCTTTCTTGTCTTTGTTTCCTTTGGTCTGGTTCTCATTTAACTTTGATTGGTGGAATATTACTTTAACAGAAGGAACATATGACCCCACAGGATATTGTACGCCACTCTTCACCCCTAATATAATCTGATACTTTAAAATCTCAATTACCGTCTTTCTTAGAATGCAATTTGCATACCCAGAAGCTGGTAAGAGAGAAGGTTAGTATTTTATTCAGGAATGAATCAGAGTTTCAGCCAAGTACTTGACATGTGTTATAGAGGAGTTAATAATTTTACTAGTCCTTGTGTTGGTAATTCCAGTAAGAGCACTTCCATGGTTCTGCCTTAAGTTCACCTTTAGTAAGATGTACGTTGTACTTCAAATGCAGGCAGGGCCTACTTGAATTTAACAAGTCCCCCCTTACTAAATAAAGCATATGGATTCTCTTTGGAAACCAACAACAGAAGCATCACAAATTATTTTTTCTCCCTGAGCTAATGTGCAGTGCAGTATCTCTAGTAGGTTTCTATAGTTGAAGAACAGTTAGTGTGAAGTCTGGGTTTGGGGCATCGTTCCCTCCATGTGCCTGTTGCTGTCTCCTGAGACAGTGGACTTCCCGGGATCGCAGGGGAGGGGCGGCGATTAGAAACACTTCCTTAAGAAATGAGTTGCATAGATGGCATGTTGTAAGCTGCAGAGGTAAAACTAGGAATTTCTTTCCTGACATTTGTTCTCCTGGTTTTTTAATTTTTGTGCACAGAATTTTGTCAAATTATTAAAATGACAAGTGTCCTATTGACCTTTTTTGTTTTTTAAATCTTAGGATATGGGCTTCATAATATACACGATTTCAAAGGTCTGCATGGTATCAGTTGCGGAGAACCCAACTTTCAAAAAATTTTTTTTCTTCAAGTGTGAATAAAGCCGCCTTTTCATCTAGTAAATAAGGATTCTGTTTGCACTGGTATTTCCAACTTACTTACTTTCCCTAGGTAGAGAGTATTAACCCATATTAGACATTGGTTTTCAAAGATCTTTGATCCATGGACTACTTCACAAGAACCTAAAACTTTGTGGATTTTTGCTCCCAAACACATTTAAAAAATAAAATAAAAGAAACCCCAAGTTGTAACCGAATTAATTGGAAGAACAGTGCTTTCCAGGAGATACCAGTAGGCCCTGATACAGCTGCCGTGAAATAGACACTCAGGTAAATGCTGAGCTGACGTTCTCAACTTCAGAAGACAAAATAATTTTGCCTTTCTTTTCATAAGTTATCCTTAGGAGAGCAGGATGGTTGGAGGGTTTGTCCATAATTGGGATACTTGCCTTTAGTTCCCAGTTGCCGGCCTTGTTTTAGTTATGACCCCAGGCAGATTGCTTCGCCTTCTTGTGCCTAGACTTCATATCTTTTGGGAGAAGTAATTAAAGCAGGCTTCCTCTGCAAGGAAATCAAAACACTGCCGGGAATGCCCCGCATGTCTGGGCGGTGACAGTGCACGGTGTGCAGGTCTGGCACTTGCAGAACTTTGCAGCAGGACTGGTTTCTTCCATGCGGCTCTTTGCCAGTTTAGTTGCTGCTTTCCTAGCACCCGCTCTTTGCTGCTGCTCCAAGGGTGGCAGGTCTCCCATTCAGGTGGGAGAGTTAGCTGAGAAGAAGGCCCTGAGTGTCTAACAGTTCAAGGACAAGCTCTGTCTTGCTTCAGTGGAGGACGCGCTGCGTTAAGTTTGGGGGTGGTCTACTGGGGGGCTCCTTGGTCTGTGGTCCTGACCGTGGGAGGGTGCGTCTGCTCCAGCCAGGCACCGGACCTTGGATCCCGCGCCTTCACTGCCTGATCCTGCTGCTTTCCTGGGAGTTTGTTCATCCTTTGGGTTCCCTGTTGGTCCCCTTAGCCTCTTCCAGATGCCCCATTGGGAATATCACAGATGTAAGGTTACTTTTGGAAATGTTTTAGGTTCTTTCTCAAAAATGTTTTGGAAATGTCCAGCTCTTCACTTGCTAATCTTTTCATCTATTTTGGAAGAATTCTCCACTGTCTTCACTGGGCAAATTCATTTCTCTGTCTCAGCGCAGCGCAGGAGGATGTAAAGCTGTCTCTGGTGCTTCTGCCTCTTCCTTTCTAACTGCATCCCCCCACCCACACCCCCCTCCTGATTGTAGTCAACCTTTCTTATTTGGAGACTTACACTGCTTTAATTTATTTTATCTTCTTCAGTTACTTCAGTGTATATTTGGTTTCATATTATTCAAGAGGTTTTAAATAGGCTTAAAATAAACCCAGCTAAGGTGGGCATAGTCACCTGGCCTAGCCAAGCCTGGATCAGCCATATTTAAGCCAGCAACATGAATCAGTTTCTTAACTCTTTTGAATTCATCTTACTAGAAGTCTCCATTTTCTGATCTGTGTCTTACACCCAATTTCAAGGCTCCACCGTCCATGTTGTCTTCATCATGGTCAATCTCATCTTTAGCAACGATCTGACTTTCTTAATCATTTAGAACTTACTCTATATGCAGTAGAGTTAAAAAATTTTTTTTTCAGAAGAGTAAGTTTGCTCAGTCTTTCTAACCATTCTTTAGTTTCCTGTGAAAGTTTCATACTTCCCCGAAGATGGAAATTTTTCACCTGAAGCATCTTTTTAGTGCTGTCTGAAGTTGTTCTTCACTTTTCTGATGTACTCTAAAGGCTGTTTTGCTTGTAGTTACTTAAAATTGGATGTGTTTTGATGCATTTTTAAAGACTGAATACTTCTTATAATATCAACTTGTTCTGAATGTTTAGATTTCTCTTTGCTAAGTCCTTGAGTAAAAATCTGTGTTTTAAGCCCAGGCAGAGAGTTGGAGGTTTCCAGCTCTTTGTTAACGCCCTCCAGTTTTTCTATTGCTGATCGTTTGTCCTTGAGTCTGGCTTCCATGAATGTTGGTTCAGAGCCTTCAAATTCTTTTTAAGTTGGGTTGAACTTGCCAAAATTTTGGAGGGCAGAAACTTTAGTGACTAGTTCTCTGTCTTTATTTCCATAAGGTAGGCTTTTAATTATGAAAAATCTATGACTACACATAACACCATCTCTGGTCTGTGGGGGTCTGGGTCTGGTTTAATGGTGTCTGGTGGGGCTGCCACTGGCTGACACTGTGTCTGCAGAACCAGGGCAACACAGAGCATCATGGCCATGAGCAGGCCCTGCAAGATCCCCTCGGTGTTCTGAGCCAGTCTAGGTTGCCAGCCCTCGGATGTCTTCACTGGCTGTAGAGAACACTGGTGAGCATCTGCCTGAAACCGATCCTGTGTCTGGTAACGAGGGCAGACCTCAACGCAGGTGCAGGAGAGGGGACAGACGCACAAAATTCTTGGTTAATGTTCTTTTTTCTCTTGACTTACTTTTCATCCTGTGGCTCTTTGAGGTCTTATTTTTTCTACTCTCAGAATCCCTCTGTGTCTGCGTGGCCTTGAATGTATGTGGGAGGAGGCTGGGGAGAGATTATGGAGGACCCACCAAGGCTTCAGCTTACTTGTCCAATTTCACCTTTGAAAAACAAGAAAGAAAGAAGTGGCATTTTAAAAAGTTTTCACATCTCAAGAATCTACAGTCCAACTATGAGCAAGGAAATCGTGACTTTTTCAGGCTCTTCTTACATGTAGTGAAACGCTGATTGATACAGAGGCCCCTCAGTTGCTTCCTTTCAGAACCGTTATTTTGGGAGGTGTTAGACGTTGGATGCAGAGGTCCTCACAGAGGCCCCTAGGCCATGGGGGACCGAAACTTTGTTGAGCAAAACAGCTCAGTCTTCTTGTCAGTCAGGCTGCAGGTTGGTTGGAAGTTCACTGGCTTTGGCTGGGCCGGGCACCTCTGCTGACCTGGCTGGGATTGGCTGGAGATTGGTCAGTCTGGGCTAGCTGAGTGTGGGTGGCTCTGTGGGTCTTGGATGGGTTTCTCATGTGGCTGGAGCTCAGCGGAGGGTCAGCTGATGTTGGCTCTGGTCCTTGTGTCTCTCATCTTTGTCTTGTAATCAGGCGATGGCACAGCACAGGACAACCACTGGAGAGAAGTCAGCTGATGTGCATTTCGAAAAGTTCACCCCAAGAGATGTCAACATCACATTTGGTGGCCTTTTGTCTTCTTGAAGTCATGATCCTGAGGGAGACTATAGGTTGTCTGGAATAGGAGAAGGAGTCGTAGTCACCCATTTCTCCTCTTTCTCTGGCTTGGTTCACAGGCCACTGTGCAGCTGGGACATGTGGATGACAGAGGTGAGCTCCTGCTGCAGGGGACAACCACCCCGAAGTGGCGGAACAAGCATTCCCAAAGCGCTGTGCTCTGCTGACCAGGTGAGGAGACCCTCTGCACAGCACGCCGTCCAGAGGGGATAACGACAGTGTGGGTGTCAGGACGCTGAGTCAGGGACCAAATGCCGAGGGACTGCTGCACCCCAGGGGAGCCCTTCCTATTTGCAGGCCTCTGTTTCCCTCTCCGCAGAGCAGGAAATAGGTGAACAAAACTCAGATCCTGAATCTGGTGGAGCTCAAGCTGGTGTGAAAAATTCATCTTGGGCAGGATTGAAACCACTTTTTTCCAAGAATGCTACATTTTTTTTTGGTGGGGGAGGTACGTATTGTAGAGTTTTCTTGGAAGAATAAATCAACATCAGTGTCAAAGTGCAGGGAGTGATGCTCTGAGTTATTCCTCGTGTTGTCTTTCCAAAAGGTGATAAGCCTCTAATTCCTGTTCGGAAATGTCTGGCTGCAGCTAAGAGCGGCAGAATTTCAGTCAGCTTGACATGTTGCTCTTTATCTTCTCTTTTCCACCTCTGGGAGGCCCTGGCCATCCTTCCCCCTGGGGGACATCCCGATCCCTTGGGCTGGTGGATGCCTGTAGCAAACCTGAGGGGCTTCTTGGAGGAAGCTGCCTCTGCTTTGTGAAGCTACCAGCAGGATGGAACATCTCCCTTTCTTTTAAACATTACATAGTTAAGGTATCTTTTTGTCATAAACATAAACAGACCTTCTTAACAGACTGCTTTTTGATTTTAAAGAGTGTTTACAAACTTCATGAAAAGGCGAAAGTGAGTCCGTGTGTGTTGGGGGAGGGTGGAGAAGAGGCAGGTGATGGCGGCGGGGAGGTGTTGGAAAGCTCAGCAGAGGTGTGAGTCAAGGTGGTCTGGAGAGCTTTCCTCGTAGGTCTCCCGGGTCTGGGCCGGGGGCTCTTTCTAGGGGTATCACATTTACTTTCTCTCTGGAAAGGGATTCTTCTCACAGCGTCCTCCGTAGCATCTGCTCATTTGTCCCTTGGAGGCTGACATTCCTTGCATGGCTTCTTTTTTCCCTCCGCACGTCCACACTCCGCATTCACTCCTGTGAAGTCAGTTGTGGTCTGTCTGCCGATGAATGTCACCACTGGTCTCTCTCTTCCCACACAGTTGTCCGTCTGCTTGGTTCACTTAGATGACTCATGTGCGGTTCGAATGAACTTGTTTAAAACAGCGTTTCCCATTTTTGCACCGAAACCTGTTTCTTGGCCTTTGTTCTCCATCTCAGTGAATGGTACCATCATCCACTCAGTTTCCTATGACGAATCTGTCCTGCTTATTAATTTTACTTCTTAAGTGTATCCTGAGACCATAAACTTCTCTGCATTCCCATTTCCACTTTCTTAATTTTCTCTTCATCCCTGTCATGGATCCAAGCAAGACATCACACCTTCTAACTGATCCTCTGTCATGAATTATCTGTTTTCAGCCAGCGTGATTTCACTAAAATACTTACCTGATCATTACTGCTTTTCTGATTAAAACCGCTAATGGCTTTCCATTACCGTTAAGATAAGTTCCACATTCCTTGAGCTGACCTGCAAGATGATTTCTGGCCGCTGCAAGCCCTTCTGGCCTCGTCTTCCGTTCGGCTGCCTTGCTCTCTGTGCTCTTGTCCTGCTGGATGTTTTCCAGTTCATTCCACGTGCTGTGCTTCCTCCTTCCTTTAGCCATTTGCTCGTGCTGTTCCCTCTGTCTGGGCCTTTTCCCCTTCTTCCCACTTTTTATCCATCTTCTATATCGTTCATCTTTTTCCAGGTATTGTTAAAAATGACCTTTCTCTCCGGCACGTAGCCAACACACTGTTCCTCACTCCACTAACACATCCTCCCAATGTGATTACCTGGTTTCTTGTCACTGTTCCTCACTAGACAGTTTCTTCTCCCTCATCTCCTCCTCCTCTGTCGTCTTCTTTTTCTTCTTAAAAATGATTGTATCCTGGAACATAAAGCATACTCAGTCAGCACTTGCTGAGGGAATGGAGTGAATGAAGGGGTGGTTACTTTTCCAGGGCCTCTGCCATCTGTTGTCAGTGTGACTTGTGTCAGAGGTTCATATGTCCTCATATCTATAATTAAATTTCTATTGTAACCTTGTAAAGTTTCCATATTAACACTGAATTTTGCAATGTTTGTAAGTAAGTTTTCTGTTGTTTCTCTTGATACTTTTTCCATTTGCAATGTGTAAAATAATCTATTTGTTGGTGTTTAAAAAATCTGACTTTTACCTATTGTAAATAGGTAGAATAACCTTTGTTTATAAAACCACTTAACAGAGATCCATATTAGGAGGAAAATTGACAAGGTAGTGATATACAAGCTATACATTTAAAACATTATGAACTGGGGAATAAGCTCACATTTCCTTTAATAAGGATGTTTAAAAAAAAAACCCATAGGATTAAAAAGTCACATGGTATTGTCATTTGTTCTCATTTCACTGTCTGTTACAATATATATTTGAATGAAGCCATGTGTGTGTGTGTATATGTATTTATCTTAATTAGACAATTTAATAATAAATTAAATCTAATATAAAAATAGCTTGTTTCTGAGGCTTTTTAGCAAGTTCCTTTTTGGACTGTTACCTAATAGGTTGCTTCTTTTTGCTTTTGTCAGGCAAGTAGACTGAGGCCTAACACATTATAGATTTTGGAGGACAGACATTTCCTGATGGTTTTGAAGCTTTCATAATGATAGAAGACATAAATTCCTTTATACTTTCACTGCTCTTAAGTTCTGAATTTCCTATATAAGCACTATTATTTGGATTATAATGTTCAAATTTATTAAAACATTATAATATACAATATGTAATATATCCAATGATCAGTTTAGGTAATTTTCTTTGGTTCACGAAGAGGAAAAAGGAAAGCATGATTAAGAGTACAGTTGATTGGGTAGCATTTGAAAGAGTTAAAAAAAATTCTGGGTTTCTGCTTTAAGGTCTTGTCTTGAGCCTTCTTCCCCACAATCCGCTGAAAGAACTAAAAATGGAAAAAAATAAAAGAGAGCAAAAAGGAAACAGGAAAACCTCATAGGAGCGCTAAAGAGGAGGAGAAGGTACCACTGACATATGAGAAATGTGAAACTTGGGGAATGTGTGAAACAGAACGAACTAGATTGAAGCAAAACTAGTCAGACTTGAATAGCAGGTGAAGTTCGAGCCTCTTGAGAAGTAAGTGGTTGGTTTCCTCAGTGTAACCTGAAAAAGTTTCCTTTTTAGAGCAGTAGAGGTTTAAACAGGGCTGTGCTGTAGGGTCATGGGTGAGGATGCTGCAGGGTCACGGGTGAGGATGTGCTATAGGGTCACAGGTGAGGATGAAATTGCATTATTTTAGAAGCTGTACCAGTGACTCACATAACAAGCTTCCCCAGGTTTTGCTTTACACAGACAGTTTACTAAATAAAGTGCTTGTAGGCCAAGGAGGGAATAAAAGTAAAAGTCAAAGGCTTTTTAGAAATTATTAGAAATGAGATAATCATATATGAAAATCTATGGGAGGTGGCCAAAGTCATACACAGAAAATAATGTCTTAGTTTCTTTTTTTCTTTTTTAAATTGAAATATAGTTGATTTACATTATTATGTTAGTTTTAGGTCTACATCATAGTATTTTTATGTTATACTCCATATAAATTTATTATAAAATATTGGCTATATTCCCTGTGTTGTACATTACATCCTTGTAACTTACTTTATACCTAGTAATTTGTGCCTCTCAATCCACTTGACCTGTCCCTCTGCCCACTGGTAACTACTGCCTTGTTCTCTGTATCTGTGAGTCTCTTTCTGTTTTGTTATATTCATTCATTTGTTTTATTTTTTAGATTCCACATATAACAGAAGAAAGAATGAAAATAAATTAACCCTGTCTGTCTTTGTCACCTAGTGGTCATGTGGAGTGCTGTGTTAGGAAGGAGTCTGAAGGTGAGTCTGTACTAACCGGGAGCACTGCTGTTGGTGAGTAGTGACTTCATGGCTCCCTGATGCCCGCTTGCCCCAGTTCTGCATGAGCTTCCCGGGTGCTGCCGCAGCCTGTGCTTCCCTCTGCGGGGGCATTTTATCTGCTGGTAGACAGTGGGCACTTGAGGTCAGAATCTGTCCTCTCCATCCCTGCATCTGCAGAGACCAGCCCTGGACTGGCACACAGTACATGCTGATCACGCTCAGTATGTGAATGAGTGATTTAACTTCTCTGAGCTTAATTTTTTTTTCCATTTGTAAAATGGGACTATTAATACTACATGATAATAGAGTTTTCAAGAATCTTCCATAGAAAAAGTCTAGCCTTACCCACTTTAATAAAAATGGCAGTAGGTTTTGTTTATTGAACACCGATTATGTGCTCCAAACCTGACCAGGCACTTCACGTATATTATCATCATCTCTTATCCTTACACCTCCATCAGATAGCTACTGTTATCTCCATTTTATAGATGCTTGGAGACATCAAGAAACTGCCCCCAAATAAGTAGCAAGGAGGTCTGGCAGAGCCAGGATTTGAATTCCAAGTCTGTAGAATTGAAGTTTCTATGGGAAGTTCAGTTTGGGTTGTCAT